TACTGTGCCTCTATAGAAACACTTTTCATTTGGCAAGGTATGGCATAGTGCTAGACAGGAAGATCATGGAGAGAAGGAACTAAATGATATTTCTTTCTGTGTCTTCAGGCTCTAGAATAATGCCTTGCTGTTCAATAAATATTTGCCAATGGGTAAATGAATGAAAAAATGACCAATTTCCTAATCGCCTTTGTACATGTCAGCTGAAGAATGATGAGGTTCATAAATTTGGAAAGGAGAGCTTTATTTCTCATAGAGGGCTGCAGCCTGCAAGCTGGCCATTTTGCAGGCTGGGAGGCATAGCCTCCAGCCAGAAGCTGAGTGCAAATGCTTGAAGGGAGGGGCAACAGGAACAGGAATTTAGACTGAGCATGGTAGCCGAATATACATATTTAACAAGCTATAGGAGGCATTATGAATATTTATGAACAAACATGAGCATGTGCAATTGAGCTTCCTGCCTCTTCACAGGTCCCATGTTGGGACCCATGTTCAAAAAATGGCAGCAGAAACATGATCAGAGGGTGGAGCTTTGGGCCCTTTAATGTCAAAAGGAGAAGAGAGAACAAGAAAACCCTCTCTGCACAGTCTCTGTAGACCGGTAAGAGCCACAGAGTCCGAAGCCTCTTATCAGGAGAAATGCTGGTCAGGTATAGTGTCCAAACTACAAAAAGAGAGGAGTGATCCTGAGGTTGGTTGAAATTAGTAGCGGATCCTGTCTTTCCAAAAGGCTGTTTTCTGTTTAGCCCTTAGGGAGAAAGCCTGATGGTGGCTAGTGAGGGAGGGGCTGCAACAGGGCATGTTAGAGCTCCCATTCCATCAAAGATGGGAATTCAATTTTAAGGTTTCTCTGAGTTTCCCTTGGCCAAGGCAGGGGGTGTGCTCAGTCAGTTGGGGGATTTAGGATTTTATTTTTATTTCTCAGCCAAAAGAAGAAAGACAGAAATCTGAACTACTACCTGAGCCAAGCCCAGCCAATCACTTCTTACTAGTGACATGTATGTATTCACTAAAACAGTACAAATATCAAATGAAAGTTTAGTGAAGTCACTTCTGATAAACTAATATAGAGATATAATATACATTGTATATAGCACAGAATATGTATGTATGTGAAATTATAAAATAAAAAAGACAGGAGCTTGAGAGGGCAAAGTTATCAAGTTATAAACAGGGCAGTGATGGGTAGATTTCTCTCCATTGAAGCGTGAAATGATTTTGGCTGAACCGAAAATGAGATGTGTTACTGTTTTCTGAGACTGTTTATATGAGCATAAACTGGATGCTTTAATCTTTTGTCATTTTTTGTTACATTTTATACAAAAAAATATAAAATTTTTAAGTGGTTGGGATTATAGATCGACTGGATAAAAACATAGCTTATGGATATAGATTTTTAAATGGTAATATTTTTGAACCACAGGGATCCTCCAAGATGCTTACAATAGAAATAATTTGCATAAATATGCTAGAAAAGTCATTGAAAATATAAGCTATTTAATTGAATAAAATAAAGAAAAACAAGATACAGAAAGAATGTACTTTTTATTTTTGTCATGCTAAAAGAAACGCCATTCTTCTGATCTGAAGCTATTCCTTCCCCAGCACCTTGAATCTCTTATTTCTTCAACTTCTTACTGCTTTTTGAAACAACTTTTGATGAGGAGATAGACCTGTATGAAAATTGATATTTAGAAATGTTTCCATAACTTAGGTGGTTTTGATGGTGAAAATGGGCATTACCTGTAAACCCTCTCAAAATTACACACTTAAAAAAAGCTTAGAATCACAAATATTCAATTTTGTTTTAAAGTTTTCCCAAAAGTTACATTTTTAAGTCGTTTGTCAAATGCAAACCCTCCTGATTAATTTGGTAGAAAAATGAATTGGGATTTCTAGGATATTGAAAGGTTACAGAGTAATTGTAGCAAAGTCTTTGATGTATAGTTTCAGGGTGATATTAAAAGGTGAGTATTATGATAAAGTGCAGGCAGTCAGAAACTTGTTTTGTTTTAAATGACATTTTCTTGTGAAGAACAATTTCTAGCATTGAAATAAAGTTAAAATTTAGAATCAGATATTTGAATCACTCTATCACAAAATATTAAACCAAGATTTCAAGAACAATCAAAACATAATCACATTTCATACTAAAAATTAATAACATTTATATTTTGAGGAAGCCATAAATTTCTGAACTAATACTTCATAAATAAAATGAAATAGCTAAAGAATATTGCTAAGTCAGATTGTAACCTCAGTGAGCATTTCCGGTTTTCTTTAAGCTTTACGATGTGGAGAAATGATCAGTAATAGAAGTATGTAACCTATTAAGACATAAATACACGTAATTTGCAGGGCAAGAGTAAATAATTTTACTGCTGTAATGTGTTGCCAAGTATTCCCTAAGCCTCTTGTGAATCCATGTACTTTCATCTGCTTTTCCTTCTATCATACAGCAGACCACCCATCTCACATGGATTGCCCCAACTGGCCTCTGTTTCTTCCCTTTCCTCCAACCCATTCTCCAGTTTGCAGCCACAGTGGGGTGTGTAAAGTGCAAAATCGATTAGTCACTTTCCTCTATAGAACCCTGCAGTGGTTTCCCTTGTGGTCAGGACATGTTCCAACCCCTTCATAAAAACCCCCAGGTTCCTGCAGACCTGCCTACTGGTGCTCAGCCACAGCTCTGCCCACCCTGTTCACTTTGAATCTGCTGCAGCTACAGCAAGCTCCTGACAGTGGGGCCCTAGAGTGGCCTGGCCCCACTCACGACAGGGTCTAGACACAGGCTTCCTCTGTAGGGAACACAACCGAAGTCATTTAAACACCACTTCCTTCACAGAGCCTCTTCTGATCCTTGGTTCCGTAAGCATTTGTTGTCAATGCCTACCCCAGGGCTTACCATGCCATATTGGATTCATATTTTACTGGATCATTATTCAGCGGTAAAGTCATTGAGGGCACACAACTCCAGGGAGAAAAGATGTTCAGCAGGCAGGATTTTGATGACATTTTGTGTCTGATACACTATTCTTGAGCTGCCTACCCTCACACTTCTCTTTACCCTGAGAAAAATAAGCCACTATGGTTTTAAATCATTCTTATTTGGGATTTGTGTAACATGCAGCTAAATGAAATTATCACAGATAAAATTGGCCCTGATTTTTATGTATACATTTATAGGAAAATGTGTGTGAGGATATACAGAACAGTGAAATATTGATTTTTTTTCTCATTTGATTTGCTCTGTTGAACATGCATTTTTATATATAAATGCATTAGTCGGGGTGGAGTAGAATACATTGAGGCAACAAATAAAATGCCAATTCTCAATGGCATAGCACAGTAAAGGTTTATTTGTCCTTCTCACAAAGGCAAATGCAGGTTAGCTAGGACTGTCCTCCAACCAGTGACTCAAGGATCCAGGTTCCTTCTGTCCTGTGATTACTAAGTGAGAAAATAAAAGAGAATGTGAAGATGAGAGGCCAAAATCTAAACATGTCCAACATAAAAATCAAATTTGTCATTTCCAGTCATAAGCCATTGGCTAGAATATGTCACATAACCATGCCTAACTTTTGGGGACCGACATTGTAGACTTCCCAAGGCGACTCATGAAAGCAGACATGAGGGAGCCCTCATTGTCTCTACCAAAATAATACACTATAATTCAAAAATGGGAGGACTCTTGGGAAAGGCAAAGCATCATACATCTCAGTCACTTTCTTTCTTGAGTGAGATGGCAAAAGATAGAAGGGGAGGGAAGAGAAGAGAGTGGGGAGGAACATGTAGATGCTTCACAATTTTGTCTCAGGTAAGGTGGGGTTAAGTGCTAAGATATGTCAGTGAGTAAAGAAGAAAGTATGTTTTTAAGCTTTGCATCAAATGCGGAAGTCACTGGGTTCTTTTTTACTTTTTAATTCAAAATCTGAGAGAAAGCAAAGTTCCACTTTAATTTTCAAATAAATCTTCCACGTTGAAGCTCTGCTAATTGCCCTATTTTCTTACCAGTTCTGGGCCTCAATTTCCACATCTGTAAGATGAGCAGTCCTTTCTAGTTCTAAGAGCAGTGTGTGTGGCTTCAGGAATAATAATTGCACAATCCAAAGTGAATCCTGGATTATTTTAGTTTATTAATTCGTATCTACCAGACATATGAACACCCAATGCTTAGATAAAAAACTATGATTTGCTGACCAACAAAAAAAGAATTCATTTAGCTCAAGGAACAGCTGAATCTAATTGCCTCTAAGTGTTGTTCAGTAAGGGTAACCTTTGGCTATTTTAATTAAACATGAATTTTTGGAGATTATGGGAAACAAAATGAATGTGTGCTTAGCAATTCCTGCCTACAAGAATTTACAATCCACTTAAGCAAGGTAAGACATGTGCAGCTGAAACCATCAGAGCAAAAAAAAAAATATTCCAAATAAGCCAGTGTTACATACAGTATAATTAAGTGCTAAATAGTGCAGTTCAATTAGATAATATTATAATTAGAAGAAAAGATGTTAAAATATGCACCCAGCTGACAGACAACATGGACTCCCCATGGCTAACTGAGGTGCTTAAAGTCAACACAGAACCAGGTGGCCATGGCTGGGTGAGGGAGCAGTCACGTACTCTGTGTTCTCAGAAAGATGTAAAAGTGTCACAGGACCTCCCCTTCTACAATCAAGCCAAACCAGTTCCTGTTGCCAGTGCCAAGACAAACCACAGTTGGAAAACCCCTCTCACCCGCCGGCCATTTGAGAGAAACAGTGGACAAAGAGTTTTTGGGATTTGGGTCTTGGAAACCAACCAATCAGAGCTCACCTGCCTCAGCCAATCAGAGCTCACCTGTATCAACCAATCAGAGCTCAAGTTACATTGAGCCATCAGCTATATTAACCAGTCAGAACTAAGTAAGTTCACACTTTCATTTGCATACATGTATCTGATTGGATAGCTGGGAGGGAACTCTTGGTATAAAACCCTGGCCTTGGCCTTGTTCTCTGGAATGTATTTTCATTTAACGCCACTCAATGCGTCTCCTGGTTACCAAACTGCTTACTGGGATGAAAAGCTTTTTCCGCTAAATTATTTTTCAGGGATTTTTGCTCATACGGGAGACAAAAAGACTACGGTAAGATGAAAAGTAGAGTCACTCTAATAATAAGGCTAACTATTTCCAAGTACGTCACTTCTTAAAGCACAGGAACTGAAAATAGAAGGAGCTGGAGTCAGAAAGTGCTAGTCCTTTTGTAGTATCAGATTTACAAAGTTTTCTGGTGGACTTAAATGAGTATTTTGGTTAATTCTCTCACAGAACCCTAGTTGATTGAAAAGAACTGCAAGGATTAAGGGTAATTTGAAAATATACCAGAGGAAGCAAAAATTGAAACATAAGATGATTTTTTAAAAAGTCTTAGTAGTATATCATATTAAACATTTACAGATTAAAGATTACAGAATTTAGGAATAACTTCTGTGTATGGGACACTACCTACTCCTTATAATTTTTCCACTGTGCGGTTGTCACCTTATTCATTGTGAAGAACAGTATCTTTTCTATAATATCCATAGGAACATATTATACATACTTTTCTATACAATATTAAATTCACAATGAATGGAGTATTTATTTGAAGTAAACACAATACAGATTGCCATTAGCCAGCAAACTTTCTTCTTTTCTCTTTTCTCCCTACTACTTTTAAGGCTATTCTGTCTGGCTTCATTTCCAAGTTGTAGATGGCAGATCCTTCTTGCAGAAATATCTTTATCTTTGGGAAGTTCTGTTTTGGGATTCTGACTTGAATCGAATCCTACAGTCATTTCTGAAGAAAGTTAAAATTTTGATACATGAGAAAATATATATATATTTTAATATTGTGCTCCCACATGTAACAATTCTATTGGAAAGTAATTCAGGAGAGAAGGAAAAATTGATTTAGTATAATGACATTAATGAGAATAATACGATATTTGTCTGAAAACTCAAAATACAATCTGGGATCCTTGGGATCCATAGTAGTGAGGATGGTAGGATTAAAAGAGAAGAGAAGAGGGGTCCTTGCTTTGTGCAGGGACTAGTCTTGGAAAGGCTGTTCCTGCTACTCATGTTGATGTGTGACAACACTTTCATACTCATGTTGGAATCCCAAGAGTTTTGGGGAATAGGCCCCCAATTCTAAAACAAGGAAACTCCTGTGTTGGAACTTTTTGGGCTCTGCTAAGAAAGGGAGGAAGACTGAGTACAAGAACTATCATGATTGATTAGTAGTATCTGCTAGGGAAATGGGAGGGTGGGGGATAGTTCAAGTGTCACACATGTATCACCATGCCTGATGACATGCTTTCTGGCTGTATGGTCAGGCTGCAAGAAGTCCTTCCCGTTCTGAACTGAGACCTTTTAAAACTGGTGTTCTACATCACTGTAGGATAACTGTAGTTAACAATAGCATTATATAGTTTCATATAGCTGGAAGGAGGACATTCAATGTTCCTGACAGAAAGAATACATGTTTGAGATGATGGATATGCTAATTACCCTCTTCTGATCTCTGTATGTTATATGTATTGAAATATCACTAGGTACCCCATGAATAAGTACAATTATTATTTTTCAATTGAAGAAACAAAATTTTAAAAACCTGGTAACTACAGAGCTGTTAGGACCATGTGGGTAGGTGCGAGTCTCAGAGCTTCATGCATCTTCCAAACAGGGATGTCGTTTTAGAACTGAGCTTAAGATGATGGACAACAGGGAAAAATGCCAAGACCAAGGATATGAGCTCAGAGCTCGTTATAGCTTTAGTGCTCCTGGTTAGTATGAGTCCTGGGAATGGGCAAGAGCAGAAGGGCTTCGGAGCCTTTTTCCAGGGCGCTGCTTCTCAATCAACCGCCTCCACAGAAGTGCACACTGCCACCTTACGGACATCTTCAGAGGTTGCACTTAACATTAGACAATAAATAACGCCATGGGTTGTTTTTATAAACATGTGCAAATGAAAAAATCATATAAAGGTTTCAGGCAGAATATATTAAAATGAAGAGTCTTGATTTAGGTTTCACTGAAGAAATTAAGTAACAGTAACAAGAGAGAAAATTCTCAGCTCTTAGTATTTTAGGAACTATGGGGTCTTTAAAGAAAGAGAATCCATGAACCTCTACTAAAGTCTTGTTTAAGAAAATTCACTTTCATTTATCACGCGAGTTGGGACAACTTATATTTTTAAAATTATGTAGCTGTAAGATGGTTTTGTCTCAGGAGGAAATAATCAAGAAAATCAATTTACTCTCACAACAACAGCATATGAAAAGTCCCTTATCCACACTTGTTGCTACTGAACTGTTTAGTTTTCACTAATTTAATTACTGAAAACGTATTTCATGTTGCTTTAATAACAATTGCTATGATTTCTAGTAAAGTTAGGTGAAATTACACTTTTTGCTTAAATATTACATTTCTATTTCTGTAAAGATCTTGTTTATGTACTTTGTCTATTAAGTGGTTATTTATCATTGGTTTGTAAGAGTTCTATGTATATTCTGAATATTAGCTTTTTGTCTGATAACTACTTATAAATATTTTCCCCTAGTCTGTAACTTGTCTTTTCAAAAATTTAAAACTTTTTATATCTTTCTCATAAAATGTATCAATATTTTCCTGATCTTTGATTTTTTGTGTGTCTAAGATAATTTCTCATATAACCTCAGTGACATAAACATAAACTTTTATATTTTTCTAATAACATTATACTTTTGGTTTTAAGATATAGAATTTTAATCTATCTGGAATTTATTTTTGAGAAGTCTGATAAAGAATTCTTCTGTGTGTGTGTGTGTGTACATGAGCATACATGTTAGTATGTGTGAATAGATACCCATTTGTCATATGGAAAATTGACTTAGTTATTCTTGGGCATTTATACTTCAAAATGAATTTTATTTTCTCCCAGGCATTGTTTATATTATTACTTTATTTATTTTATTGATACGTATTAGATGTATATATTTTTAGGGTACATGTGATAATTTGATACATTCATATAATCAAATTAGGTTAATTGAGATATCCATCACCTTAAACATTTATCTTTTCTTTATGCTACGAACCTTTATTCTCTTGTAGCTACTTTGAAATGTACGATTAAGGTTAACTATAGTTACACTACTGATCTATCAAACACCAGGTCTTATTTCTTCTAAGTGTTTATTTGTACCCACTAATCAGCCTTTCTTCATCCCCCACCCCCCTCCCTGCTACCCTTTCTGGACTCTAGTAACTACAAATCTACTCTCTATCTTCATGAGATCCGCTTTGTTAGCTCCCAAACATGACTGAGAACATGCTGTATTTGTCTCTCTGTGCTTGCCTTGTTTCCCTTAAAATAATGACTTACAGTTCCTGTCATTTGTTGCTGCAAATGACAGGATTTCATTCTTTTTTTAAAAGTTTTTTTTCATTTTTTAAATTTCAAAATATTAATTAAGTAGGTACAAGTGTTTTTATTATAAAGATATCATGTATAATGCTTAAGTTAGGGCTTTTGCTGAGCCTTTCACCAGAATAGTGTACGCTGCACCCAGGAGGTAAGATTTTAGCCCATGCCCACCCTCCTGTCCTCCCGCCTTCTTGGTTTCTCATGTCCTTTATATTACTTTCTGCCCATGTGCACCTGTCTGTTAGCTCTCACTTATTAGTGAGGACATATGGCATTTGATTTTCCATTCCTGAGATACTTCCCTCAGGGTAATGGTCTCCATTTCTCTCCATGTTGCTACAAATGATATTATTTTAATCCTTTTTATAGCTGAGTAGTTCTCCATGGTGTATATATATATACCACATTTTCTTTATCCACTTGTGAATTGAAGGACACTTTGGTTGGTTCCACACCTTTGCAATTGTGAATTGTGCTGTGATAAACATTCAAGTGAAGTGATTTTTGATAAAATGACTTCATTTCCTTTGGATAGATACCCAGCAGTGGGATTGCAGGATCGAATGGTAGGTCTACATTTATTTCTTTGAAGAATCTCCATATTGTTTTCCATAGAGCTTGTACTAATCCCACCAACAGTGTATTAGCATTTCTTTCTCTTGTGTCCAGGCCAGCCAGATCTATTGTTTCTTGACTCTTTAATAATGACCATTCTCATAGGAGTAAAGTGGCATCTCTCATTTTTAATTTGCATTTACCTGATGATTAGTGATGTTGAGCACTTTTTTCATATGTTTGTTGACAATTTATCTATCTTCTTTAAAAATATTTATGTTCATGTCTTTTGCTAACATTTTGATGGGGGTTTTTTGGTTATTTTTTTCTTTCTTTCTTTCTTTCTTTTTGCTGATTTGTTTGTATTCTTTGTAGATTCTGGATATCAATCCTTTGTCAGATGTATAGTTTGCAAACATTTTCTCCCATTCCATAGGTTGTCTATTCAGTCTGTTGATTATTTCTTTTGCTGTGCATAAGGTTTTTAATTTAATTAAATCCCATTTATTTTTGTTGTTGTTATAATTGCCTTTGGGGCCTTAGTCATAAATTCTTTGCGTAGGCCTATGTCTAAAAGAGTTTTTTGTACACTGTCTTCTAGAATGTTTATGGTTTCATATCTTACATTTAAGTCTTTATTCCATCTGGAATTAAGTTTTGTATATGTTGAGAGATAGTGATCCTCTTTCATACTTCTGCATGTGGCTATCAAATTGATATGGTCATATCAGCATTCTCATAATTATTATTTACATTATATCTTCTCTATTCTTTGACTTTCAACTCATCTGTATTTTTATATATAAAAAACATTTTTAGTCAGATACTACATATTGTGAGGTATTCTAATTTTGCATTTTCTGTCCAAAGAAAATTAATTGCCTATTAAAACAATCAAATAGCAATGTTTAAAATAACACAACAGTACTCAGAGTAGTTACAAGGCTGATTGTATTGTCTACAATGTCCTGTTTTTTACCATTAATAAAATTTACTAGATATGCAAAGAAAAAGGAAAGTATGACCTATGCTCAGGAAAGAAATTGATAGTCAAAAGAAATTAGCTCTAAATGAGCTCAAATGTTATAATTAGCAGACAAATATTACAAAGCAGTTGTTAAAAATGTTTAATAAATTTAAG